TATTACCTTTGCTATCCAAGCCAGGTGAGCATGTACAGATTCTGTCTTGTGCAAACTCTCTTTAGGTTGAATGCTGAACAGGAAGGGGAAGCAGTCACCTCTGCACCAGTGACATTGTAGTACTTTGTTCTAGGGAGTGGTGAGGTGTTGAACCTTAATATCTCATCCCCTCTCCCCTCCTGTACTCCCAGACTAATATAAGTGGTTGTTCTGAGTTTGGTATCCCAGTCCTAGCAGCCCCACCCACCTGCCCCAAGCACCACTCATGGGCTTCCTGGGCCAGCACTGTGCCAACAGTGAGCAGGGGTAGGATGGGGAGAGGAAAAGGGCAGGTGCTTGTTTGCACTGGTTGAGAAAGGATTCATTTGCTTTTTGCACAAGGAAGCAGGCACATTCACTGTGGCCTATAATTGTCATGCAGCATCCAGACCAGTGACCTAGCTAGCTGGCCCCAGCTTTCCCTTCTTCCACTTAAAAATGTTTGCAATTGTTATTTTAATAAAAATTAATTAAATCAAATGTATGCACAAGTATAATGTTACATCTGGCAATAAAAGCAGGTGTGAGATAGACTCTGTGTGTGTGTTTTAAATTAGTACATTGAAGCACTGGATAAGGATGACTTCACTTGTGGATCTGCTTCTTACCAAGCAGACAACTATCTCTACCTACATACAAAATGGATCATCATCTACATCCATGATAACATAAGCACAGGGGGTCCCTGTTGTGATGGGGCAACACATTCTAACTGTACATGACAGCATGTATAGCTACAGTAGGAAAATCAATGACTTCGGTTTACAGCCTCCACACACACATTCTGCTTCTGGCATGGAGGACATGGCCAGGACACCCATATGCTGCACAGATCTACAGCAGCTGTTCCTGACTCTTGAGGCCATTAGCAGCCAAAACAAGCTAGTACAATGCTCTAAACCACACTTGGGGGCTAGCCCTGTACACAGCACTCCTGGAAATCAGGAATACAAAGCTGATCAATATAATGCCTTGCAGACTTAAACCTGTGATGTGCTATGTGCAGCCCAACCAGACCACAGGATCTGACTCACTGAATGGGTGGGAGTAACAACTTTCTCTATCGCACTTTACAAAGCCCCAAACAATAAGTATCTGTAACTGCACAGGAATAGATGCAGAATTTCAGATAAACAGGAGCAACAACTTATATAATGTACAGAAGCCTGCCTTCTAAACAACAAAGGCAGATGTGACATTATCACAGCAGTACCCCATGCACTCCACTGACTCTCCATTCAAACCAAAAGGATCACATTCAAAGATTTGATCATAATCTACAAGGCTATAAAAGTGAAGGGCCTGGCCATATCAAGGACCATTTCACAATCCACAAGATAACTGTACTCCATACAAATGATACAGTTAAGTAGGTTCAGATTCTTAGTGACAGAGGGCAGAATATTCACAATGAGAGGACCCTCAGCTGTGGAAGGCCTTGCCAAAATGAAAGCCACTAAGTACACCCACATGTGACCCTACAGACCAAGATGCAAGAACCATATTTATACCAAAGCTGTCACCTGCAAGGGACTTTGTACTGCTGACAATCTGATCAGGATAGCAAGAGAGAATGAATGAAAGAGAAAGAAAGAGGAAGAGAAGAAATTTATGAAAGACAGATAAGTTTTAGAAACTTGAAAAAACAGGGATGAAGTAATCTATCTTAACCATGAAGTGGTGATGGGCATACTTTTAATACCAATCTCCCTGCCAAAGGGTCAAGCAGTTGCAAAATGCAGTGCCTTCCTTCCAGCCCTGATGAAGGGCATGGGAAAAATGGCTGTGCTCAAACGGCACGTCTACCTACAAGCCCCCAAATCATGGGTCATTTGTGCTTGCAGCCCAATTCCATCCTCAATGGACTACTGCTTATATTTGTTTAACTTTTCTAAATGTTATTTATCTGTTGTTTATTTAGCTCTATAACATCTCCATTAAATATACCAGAAGGTACCACCCAGTCATGTGAACTCTTTCTTATGTAGCAAACTAATCATGATGAGTAAAGGACCTTTGTGCAGGGGCCTGCCCTGGTCTTCTTTAAGAGCTAAGGATAAATTTTCCTCTGGTTCTGGAAGATATTAAGATAGAGGAATTCAGGGACTCAAGCTGTCTATTGATCCCAAACCGATTTCAGCCAACATAACAGTCAATATGCAGTATGAAGCTAAACTAGCTAGCAACAGCATTACAATGTGATAGCCCAACAAACCAACACCTAATTATCAACCACCTTTAATGGTTAGAGTACTTATCATCAACTTCTACTGGCTACAGAGATTTTCTACTGGCTACAAAGTTTTTAGCCATGAGGTGGGATAAAACCTCACCTAGCTACAGGTCTTATTTTGAAATGATGTATTATTATTTAAGTACTACTTCAACTGCAAAGAATAAAACAGTTCTCAACCAACCAGGGTGCCACAGCACCCCAGGGTGCCTTGAGATTTTTTTCAAGGGTGCCACCAGAGGCCACACAATGTTAGTGCTGTTAGCTGCATGAACATGATTCACAAGATAAACCCAGAGATTTCAAATAGAATAAATTTAAATACATTCTGACCTGTCGTGGTCTATTCCGAGTTCTTTGCAACAGATGAATTGCTCTATTATTTTTCTGTAGTCAAAAAATGAGTACAAACTAAGAGCTGGCATTTTCCAAGGGGTGCCTTGAGCCTAAAGAAGGGTGCCTTGAGTCTAATGAGAGGTGGCTTGAGTCAAAAGGGTTGAGAACCATTCCTCTACAATGCACCAAGAGAACATATTAACCACTGCAGGCTAAGCCACTAAGTTATATTCAGTAGCAACAGACCATAATTCTAATAATTACTATGAAGGTTGATATACCGATCATAATTTATATTGGATGGTGAAAGCAAGCCTTAAAATGTAATCCGTTTTGTGCATTCTTAAATCCCCCAATACAACATTCAGCTCTTTAAGGAAAACTAAACAATTTCCTTTAGCCTAAATAAATATTAAGCCCGTGATGCATTACTTTACTCCAGTACGGGGAACTCCTATGCAAACCGATCATTATAATAGAAATCCTTATAATCCCTCTCTCCCATTCAAACTCAAAACATGTAATCCTGTGAATAAATCCAGAAAGAAAGTGTAACAAAATGGGCAATAAAAACTTACTGCATTCACATCTTTTCATCTACCATTAATACTGTAAACACTCACTTGAAGGCCCTTGAGTATGACTAATCTAATGTTTTGGCTCCCACCAGTAATAGCCATAATAGTGCGCCTCTTGTTATAACACCCAGTTTGATTCACCACCCCCTAGGAAAGTGGTTAGAGAAGACACCCCTTCCATTCAGAGTAAAACCTCATGTCAGATCTTCTTGCAAAATGCTGCAAAATCAGCACTAAATCTAAAAAGTATGGTTCTAATAGTAAGCGAGCACAGGACTTTTTTCTCTTTATTTTATTGCTTTGGAAGCCTGCAAGCTCCAACTGTATAAATGCCAATAACTTCCCAAGTTTTAAAGCTGCTGAAGTAAGAGATCAGATTTTAGCAAGTGCTTTCCAGGCAATGAGCCAAACTTCTTCTGATTCACTAAAAGCAACAAGGGCTGGGGGGGAGGGGGCCAGACTGAAGGGCTGATTAACTTCAGTTACCGCACAATTTCAAAAATGTCTCCTTACTGCAAAGGGTGCCATCGCGGAGAGCCCTGCACAGCCTGTTATTCCTTGGGTTTGAAAAAATGCGCTGGAGAAATCCAGCAAACGCCTTCCAACCACAAAGTAATTTACAGCTGTAGATCCCCTCTCTTGACTTAGGAGGCTGCTCTGCTGAAATAAGGAGTCTTTTTGTTTTTATAATCAATCTAGCTGCAATTTC